TCAGTAACAGTTTTATACCTGGAGGTTTTAGAAGTGCTTTTGAGCTCAGAGATTGTGTTTTAATGTTTTCATATTTGGTTAGGCCTACAAAATGAAAGAATTGAGACACCAAGGAAAAATAATGTGATATCCATTGCATTATGTGCACCTCAGAAGTTTTTGTTTCCTGTTTCTCACTGTTAGTGTAGATTCAGCTTTGTCTTCAAGAACTCTATTGAAACTAAGAATTTTAGTCAAGTTATTTCAGGATGGGCTCTCAATCCAGGATGTGATTTATTCTCTGAAACTCATACGGTCTTGAAACTAGGAGAAAGTCATCTTAGGAAATCATAATGGCACATCATTGTTACTCGAGGGACATACCTTTTCAACTACAAAATAGATTGCTAATGCACTCATCTATGGGATAATTTAATGACTGACTGCCTCTCTTGGAAAATATGTATTTTTTTAATCTTATATTCATGTTATCATAACAGCTTGAAGTTTACTCCTTTCTTTCCCCAAAACACGTAACTCTTAAATCTTTATGTTCAAGGTATAATTAGTGATACTAAATTGTTCTCCAAGCTGCATCTCTACATGAAAGAGCCAAAGACTAAGTGCTATTTTACTGTTAGTACTGAGAGTTCATGTCCTCTCCTCAGAAATCAGGCAGAACTATGTCATGCAGTGCATCTAACATTAACAGTTTGTATGTTATGTTTTGTGAAAGGGATGGAAAATACTTCTGCATCTGTAGGAAGAGCTTGCATTACCTGCTGAAGCTATCCTTGAACATTTGTAAAGGATTAGAGTTTTTTAACTTAACCTGTACAGGTTCATTTTACAAAACTGAATGTAATATGTGATTCCATTTTGCATATAGTTTGCTATTAATGTATCATTTCAAAGTGAGGCATAAAATCTAGACGCAGTTGAATAAGGTGCTAAAGAAGATCCGTCATTGCAGCTTTCAAGTTCTTTGAACTTTGTATTTGAGGGGTCCAACTTTTATCCTTGAAGTCGATGGGTGTGCTTACCACGTAATTCAGGTACTAAAAGTTTGATCAAAAGCCACATGAGCCATTGAAATTCCACTCTTACATGTCAGGGCTATAGCATCTCTTTTGTGCTTAAATCTTGATGAAGTCACAGTTTGCAGCATTAAGACTTCTGAGACAGTCATCCCCTTGTCCAAAATCAGAGATCTTTGAATCTGCAAGTATTTATTTGTACTAATAAAGCTCATGTTGTCTCTGTACAGAATAGAAGGGACGTAGCACACACTGCGCATGGGAAGAGTTATTTGCCACACAGTCTTCAGCAATATTATTTCTTAAATCAAAGCAATTTTCTTTGCAGGCAGAGCAAAGACACTGATCTTCAGTGTGAAGTTTTTCATTCCCTTTCCCTTATATCATGCCTCAGTCTGGTTAGAGTAGTTTTTATGTAGCAAAAGCAGAGGTTCTTTGGTTTTGGTGAAAGGAGTGGGATGTTTAAGGATTTGTGATTGAAGAAAATTGGAGTTTGGTTTTCAGTTGGAAATCCAGTCCAAAGAAAAAAGGGATTTTTTTCTCAGGTACTCACTAACATACAGTTATTAAACACACAGAGCACCAGGTCTAAAAGCACTGTTCTTTCTGTTGCAGCTCACTGACCCTGCTATATATTCAGCACTGCCTTTGTCCTGTGTTCTTAAACCAGTATAAAGTCCAAGCAAATCATTAAACTGGTTGAGTTAAAACCCAAGAAACTAAAATTTGAGAGACAAGTTGTAGCTTGTCATTTAGCTTTCCAAGCTTTAAGGTTCCATGCTTACTCGCCCAGGTCTTTTTTTTCTCATTTTTGTGGAAAAATGAGATTTTCATTGAATCATTTTATTTCATGAGTCAAGCCAAAGAAAACAATGTAATATGTTGAGTCTGGTGATAAAGTTGGGAGAGTTGGCAATTCTGCCTTTGGTGTTATAGTAATCCCCTGGACTTGATTACAAGGACTAACCCTCCCTTGCCAAACTCTGTTTCATGCAAGCACATGCCATCCTCATATGTATATTTTATAGTAAGCATTTCTTCACTTTTTCTCCCCTCCTCTGCTATCTGCTAATGCTCATTTAAAGGCAATATTTCCTCTCAAGTGCCTCCCCAGCCTCAGTGTCTAGCCTGCACTTTGTCTGTGGGGAAGGCTAATAATGTAGATGAATTACATTATATGATTTGATTGTCTTACTTTAAAAGACAATGCAAGCTACATTAAACACTATCAACCTTTCAAGCAAACAAAAATTCCTCCTTCAAACATGTACAAATTACATGGAAAGCTTAGTTCAAAGGAGATTGATATTGCTTGAACGTTTGCATTGAATTTGGCTGGCACTGGATCAGGTCCTAAAAGCTGCAGTTATCTAAGCCAACCTGCCTAAGAAGAGCCAGAAAAGTACTATACTATTAATTATTACTATTAATGGGGTGATTCTAGAAAATATTTCAGTTTTCATATTCAAAAAGTATATGGTCTATGAAGATTTTCTATTGTCCATTAATCTCAAATGTTTTGGCAGGAACGAATATTGGCTCATACAGAAATATTTCTATATCCGTGTCCATTCAGGACATACAAACATGTACAGTACTCATTAAAGACATGAAGGTTTTCTCTTAATATCATTGAACAGACAGTGTATTTTGCTCTCTGAAGTTATGCAGGAGAAGAAACCATGGTTTTGGCTTTTCTTCTTTGGCTTTCAGATCCTTAAACCCTCTACAGCTGGGACTTTTTTATATTTTTCCAGTGTATGGGTTTTTTTTCCTGTCCTTTCCAAGTTCTCACACAGTTTGGTTGCATTTTGGGGTGAACTTCTGGCCCTTTCTGAGCCCTGTTCAATCCATTCCACCCTTCTTCAGCTACCCAAGCCAGATTTCCTCCTGTTGCAGAGTCTGTAGGAGCAGATGGGTGAGAGAAACTCTGTGAGGTTCTGCTTTCTGAATATTTTCCTCTAATTGTTGGATTGGCTCAGTGGATCTGGAGGGACCAGTTGGAAGCCAGGACCATCTGCACCAAAGCTCATACTTATGCATTGGCCCAAGGATCCTTTATATCCTCTGACTCTTGGATGGCTTTATTCCAGCAAAGCCATACTGAAGGAGGGTTTCTCCTGCTCTGACCTCTTTTAGAGATATCATATTAAAAGTAAAGGTCACTGAGAAACTGTTTGCAGCTCAAGGGAGATAGCTGTTTCTTAAAGATAACTACCAGTTTTGAAAATGTTGACCTCAGGGACCAAAAACATTGAGCTTTTGTAACACTAATTCCATTGAAAATCCTAGTTAATTTAACACATACAATTAGCTTTTTTTTTTCCTTTTAGCTAATAAATTAAACATCTCTGTTTAGCATTTTTTGGAGAGGCAGACTTTGAAGCAAGCGAGCCTGTTCTCAATCCACACATTGCTCCTTCTCACAGGAGGAGAGGCACGTTGAGAGGAAAACCAGTGCTCAGCAGTTGATGAGATGTGCTTATTCAGGTGGGAAAAGTGCACAACATGGAAGTTTGGCCAAGTCTGGGCACAAGATCTGTTGCTCTGTCTGGGCTTTCCATAACCAGTAAAAGGAGGGCAAGTGGAATTTTATTGCCTTGGCCCTGCTGTGGATGAAATTCATTCCACTGAACCTCAGCACTTTGGAAAGTAGGTGTCCTGTCTTCCTGCAGTGTCAGTGCAGAGGGAGTCACTCCCAGGCAGCAATTCATCCTGCCAAGGCTGAGGTTAATCTATCTGTCTTACCTATATTAGGAAAACATTATATATTAGGAAAAAATTCTTCACTGTGAAGGTGATGAGGCACTGGAACAGGTTGCCCAGAGAAGCTGGGGATGTCCTGTCCCTGGAAGAGTTCAAGGCCAGGCTGGGTGGAGCTTGGAGCAACCTGGTCTAGTGAAAGAAGTCCCCTGGAAGATGGACTTTGAGCAGCCTGGTCTAATGGAAGATGTCCCTGCCCGTGGCAGGGGGGTTGGAACTAGATGATCTTTGAGGACCTTTCCAACCCAAACCATGCTATGATTCTATTAACTTTCAGTCAGATTCAATTGTGTACTCTCAAAAAACTGGACAGAATTGAATGTGGACTTAAAACTTGTTTTAAGGGCTTTGCTAAATCAAACAATAACTAGTCAAGGTATCTCAAGCACTGTCAGATAAACAGCTTCTCTAAAGGTAGGCACAGAGTTTGATGGAGGTAGTGCTCAGGTCTCCTGTCTATTTTGTTAGAATATCTCTGGGATAACATCACACTCTCAGACACAGGCAGTAAAGCCTTTACACCATTTTTACCATCAGCATCCAAAATGACTACTGTCGATGTTAGCAAATAGTTGTGTTTTGGCCTGGAGATGATAAATTTTACATCATCCATGTTTTTTAAGCTGCAGTCAGAATTTAATTCCGAAGGAATAAATTCTTATAATTGAGACGGATACAGTTTCCAAGGCAAAGGACATCAAGTCAGTGGGAACTGCTTATGAGCTGTCAGATTTTGTTCTGATAATCACCACTGACTTTGAAGGTCTCTGTGCATACATAGGTGACACTAAATGTGGCCAGTGCCTTCCTTTTTTAGCAAATTGTTCAGCAAGTAAATCTCAGCTATTTCCTAATACGATTTTATTACGGTTTTGGAAAGACAAGAGCTGATGATGCCTAAGAAATCTTCAGGAACAGCTCGTGACTCTGTTGCCTCCTCTACAAATACCCAATAATTCCAAATTTACAGTTATCACAAGAGAAAAGCTGCTGTGACTGAAACGAGGCAAATTGCTTCATTGTATGAAAGTTTGTGTCAGAAGCAGCACAAGAAGTTGTAAAATGTAAATCTCGTGCTCTCAAATTTCCCTGTGTTTTCACAGAACTGCATCTGTGACTGTGCAGCACTACAAAAATTTCCTGTGAATGTGCTAATAGGCCTTATGAGAATGTTCTATCACCATCCATCTGTCACTTTTTAACAGGCCTGATTGGCAAGCACTTGTAACAACTGACATCTGTTCTCGCTTATTGATATGTAGATTTATGGTAATTGCTGTGAACAATAAGACACAAAATTACCTAAGGTGAACATTAAATTAAATTTTCATGCCCCTATCCTTATAAATAATTTTTTTAAAAATCTTAAGTTTCGAGCAAGGCATACTGTGCATCTGTTTTGTACATAATTTAATTGTTTTTTTAATCTGCCAGATAACAAAATGAAAGTTGAATTTCCTTGCGATCTTGAATATTTGCCAAGCTGATAGTGCATTGGTAAATACATGTTATTAAAAATGGAATCAAACTGTATTGTGATTCTGGGGTTTTTTAATCATTTCCCTTTAATTCCCAACATTGTCTCCATCATGAAGATCAAGAGTTATTCCTTACCCAGAAGGGGTTTTTTTCCTCTACAGGAGGATTTTCATTTTTCATGTGCAGCTCTGCCTATGAGGCTGTTCCTCAGTGTTAAGTGATTTGCATTTCTTCAGAGAGAGGTGCATTTGCTGAGTGAGCAGCACTTTCAAATAAAACCCATCTACTCATTTGTGGTCCAGCTCTATTGCAGGATTTGGGACTGTTTTGAAAAAAACTGTAGGATGTGAAATGTGTGAAGAGTGTGTGAAAGGGGAGAGAATGAGAGGGCAGATTAGTCCCACAGAACTGTACCTTAGCTGAAGTTCAATTGAACCAAAAAATCCCCATTTGAAAGCAAAGTACTTTCTAGATCTGGGACTTGAGAGCATTTGGTTTCCCTCCTCCAAGTTTGTCCTAGCAAGTGTGATGTCGATGCTCCTGACAAGTTGATGGGAGAAACCAATAAAGAGGGAGCAGAGATGGTAAAATGCCTGGGGAATGTGGAACAGTGATGACAGGACTTACTTTTTGGATGTTTGAGCAGACACAGGATCCTAAAGAGGATGCATATTAAGTGATAAAACTGTTGACAAAATCAGCTCTGAATCCAGTCTGGCTAATCCTAGCACCTACCTTATATCTGCATTTTAGTCTCTCCCTGAAGTATTTCACCTTGGAGTCAGTGCCTAAGTATGACTCTTCGTGTAAGCAAGTGTATGTCATTTGCTGTTCCTCGGTCACCTTTCTTTCCTTTTTGTGTAAGTTCTGTTTAATTGTTTGTCCTTATTTACTTCCCATCTAATTAAAGCCTTTGCTATGTAAATGCCTCTATTTCTTGAAGGTCCTGACTAAAATGCAGGTATATCTCCCCCACATCTTCTAAAACAATGAAGAAACAGATGACTGAGTAGACTTCATATCACAGTCCAGAGCTTACAGCCTGAAGGTTCCTGCCTCAATGATGGCTCTGTGGTCAAGCTGATACTAATTTGGTGTACTTAGTTCATATATGGGTTTTGAAATGAACCATCAAAAGGCAATTGGGCACAATTATTGGCTACTTCTACTAACCTTACTAGTTATATTCAGAGGAGACATGGGAAACAAATTGTATTCATCCCAATTATATGACCCTGTCCTGAATGTGTTTTAAATGTTAGTTATCTTCTTTACACCTCCCATTGTGTCAGGAAATAATATTGAGCCTGGGCTTCACACAGAGTTTAAATGACTTTTAATTCTACACTCCCCTTATAGAAAAGGCACAAACCAGGTTTAATTTTTCTGAAGTATAGGCTAGTGCCTTTGCTGCATTCTCTCAGTTCCAAGGTTAGAGATGCTAGCTGGGAAATGTAAGAGGTGGTTCCAGAATATAGATATCTTGGGAGTGAAAAGAACTGAGTTTCTTGGCAAGGTACACCCCAAGCAACATGTCCATTGAAAATAGCTCTTTTATGATGATGATGATTATTGTTATTATTCCATGTTTTGCTTAATCCTGTTGCTTCTCCACATAGGCATGAACGCTTTACAACTACAGAATTTGGCAACTTTAGCAGCCGCAGCAGCCGCCGCCCAGACCTCAGCTACCACCACCAATGCAAATCCTCTCTCCACAACAACTGGTGCTCTGGGAGCCCTCACAAGTCCCGGTAAGAGCAGAGACATGGGAGCAAATGGGAAGATGAGAGTTAAAACTGTGATTCCATGTTGTGCCTAGGTTCTGTGCTCATACATGTTCTGATGACCCTTTAATATTTGCCATTGTTTATACATGTTCTGATGACCCTTTAATATTAATATTCTTAATATTAAGAACATTGTTCTTAAGCAAATCACTGCTTTTTCAAGTGGTCCAACGTGGATATATTCACCTTTCCAAGTTCATTTCAGGTGCCATTGAAGCCTAACAGATGCATCTTACAAAACTCTATGTGAAAATTACAGTTGCATAGGAAACTTAAGCTAAAATTAACTTCTCAGAAAGAATTCCGAACAGGAGAAAATTCTTCCTGTCCTACAGAAAAATCAGCTGAGGTGTTTCTTTTTAATCCCCGAGAGACTGATCTTTGATTCCCAGCACATGCATGTATTACCTTTACCCATCATGAATTTTTGTGAAGTCTTTCTCTCTTTTTTCCCCCTTATCTTTTGCTTGCTGTAGCTCAGTTGAGCTTTCTTCTGGTCCTGAACATAGAGCTACAGAAGTGATATCAGATGCATAAGAAATACACAGGCGGATTCTGACTGCATTGCACTAAGTAGAAGGCAGATTTAGGTGGGGAAAAGGGACAAGATAAGAGGTGGAGGTGCCCCCATGGCCACCATGTGGACTTTGAGACATGAATGTCTGATGTCTGCAAAACCCAAGAGAGAAATCAGGACAAATTCAGACTTTAGTAACACTTCAGCATCTCCAGAATCCACGTAGAGAGACGTTGATTCAGCATAGTTACTCTGGATTTACAGTGATGTAGCTGAGTGAAGAATCCGACCTCTTATTGTTACATAAAGGCTGCAGGCTGTAATTATTTGCATCATGAAGTGTGTTTATTGCTGTTCTAAAAAACATTCATATTATTTTAGACACCACTAAAGAAAATTTGTGGTTAATCTTGTTTAAGTGTGTATTTATTTCCCATGAAAAAGTAATTCATGGCAGACGGTTTGAGCTGATCAGTAAGGAAAACAGTTTTCACTGCACAATAGAACTGGGACCCTGTGTTGTGCAGGGTGTTAGCGCTGGCCAAGGCTTCCCTTGTCATATTACAGTTTTATTGTCTGTGTGGGACAGAGGTTAAATGAAAGGCAGCTTGGCTAGTACTAAGTTTGTGCAGAATTTCCCTGTTTCTGGCATGAGCCTCACCTTGACCTAAAAATAATATTCATTAGACACATCTCTGAGAAGCAAGTTGGGTGAAAATAATTTTGTCTTGCAGATAATTTTTTTTAAACCTGAGCAATCTCTTCCCTCTGTCCTGGAGCTGGGACTTAATGCTTTGCAAAAGGCTCGTCCCAGTGTCAGTGTTTCCACATTACTCCTGCCTAAATGTCACCCATTTCTAGAACAAGAAATGTTGCACTTCATGCATGCTCTGTGGTATCTCTGCAGTTTAGCTGTTAGATGTCTGAGCAGCCAGTCCTCCCAAAACACACTGAACATGTCTTGACCCATCCTGACAAGAGTTCTCAGGGCGACTCAGTGTACTGTACTGCAGTGCAGAGGGGCTGGAAATTAACTGTTTTTTGGTCATTGCTGCTCTGCAGCAAAGTGGCACCAGAATGTTCCTGCCATGCACACACGTCTTGCCATGTCAGCAAAGAACTTGGATTCTATTTTAAGGTCCACATTTTCCTTTCTACCTCTCCAGCACAATCTTCTTATCCAGCCTGGCTGACTTGCTGTTCCCTCTTTAGCCAGGTCTCGAGGCTCCTGGAGTACCTGGAATGTGTTTTTTCTCTGATGCCTAATTCTACAGAGGCATGTGGTGAGACAGGTCCTTCAATTGGGCTGGGTAAATACATCTTTGGGATAACTAGAGTTTGTGTTGCTCAGGGTGGTACTGTAGAGCAGATATGAAGCTTTTTCAAAAGAGGTTAATGATTTTGGCTAGCACATTGAACCTGTCTTATTTTCAAAATATTCTGGACATTTAGCCTTTAAAATAGTGTATTCAGAATGTCAGTTGCTTTTGAAAGTCTTACAGATAGTAACTGTACACAAGTGTTTCTAATATTAGACAGCTTGGTGTGCCAAAGAAAAATATATATCTAATAGGTCCATTGACCTATTTATGTTGTGCAACCAACCTAAAATCAAGCCTTGTTAGAATGTTCTTCAGTTTAACCTTCCTTATCTGGTTCCACATTCTCCACCCTATTAAATGTTTTGTAAACCTGAATAATATCTTCAATGATTCTTCTCTGCTCTATGGAAAATGAATTTAGTTTGATAAAGCTTTTCATAGTAGCTCAAAGTATTTCCATTAAAACTTGAAATATGTTGGCAGAAAACATTTAAATCTGCCTTTCCTCTGTGTGGATGTTTGGAGGCCTTGAGGGTATTTTTTTGGTCTAGTTTTCTTTTAATAGAACACTTCAGTTTGTTGTGTTTCATAAGTGTAAATTATTTTGTCTGATTTCAAAGCCTGCACTAAGCCCAGGAAGAAATGTTTGTGTCTCTCCAGATAATGCATTAAATTAATGCATTCTCAGTTGAGAAAACAGCCCAAATTTAGGAGAGTGCAAAGGTAGATGCTTAAATTTAATCCTTTTCTTGATGCTGTTAAAGGCAAAATACTGCAGAAAACAGGGAGGGACAGAAGTGTGTACTTCTAGCACGCCCTAAACCATGGCAGCCACATAAATCATATCCATGTTTCTACCCAGATATAACTAGATCTCTCCCCAAGATCTCTCCTGAATCAATCTTTGACCAAGAATTCTTGTCCTGTCCTTTGTAAACATGTGTCATAAGAGCCCCAAAAGGTGGTTATTTCAGTTAAAATTCATCTTGAAGCTTAATTTTACATAGATAAGATTTAGGAACCTTCAGTGCATTAAACTAGTGCAGGGGGGTAGTAGTCAGGTCAACTTTGATGCATTGGCAACACCGAAAAACAGGCCAGGAAGTGAGGAACTGACAGGACATCTGATATTTGAGGATTTCCAAACAAATTAAACTCCAATGATCTTTCCCTCATACATTGTGACTAAATAGCTTAGACCACAAGAGAGTCTAAGGACACTCGTTCCCTTCCATGTGCTAAATACTTTCTCTTAAGCTTGAAAGAGTATTCATTCAGAAAGAACAGAGACAATGCAATCCCCCACACTATTAATTTTTTTATAATTGTAAATTTATAATTTCAATTTTGCATACCCATGGAAGTCTCTCCCTACAGCATTGTTAGAAATGATTTTTTAAAAGCCTTTGCTTAAAAAAACATGAAAGATTAAGCTTTCATTTTAGTAAAAATCCCCTCAGGCAATAAATAGGTTCTTTTGTCTCTTGGCCCTGGAAAAAAAAAAATTAAAATGGTTTAAATTGCCTATGGTTAAAGTAACTGTTTCTTGCAATTATCAGATGATAGTGAATAAAAATTAAAATGAAATCATGAAAGGCTAAAAACCAGGTAAATGCGTATTATGTCTTTCATGAGTTTCTCATGGGTCTTTTGAAGTCTCATTTAATCATCTTTCTTGTCTTTTATTTTGATATGATAATTGTTTCCTTTATTTACCTTAATCACCTCTATTTAGTTAATTAATTCTTCACTTTATTTTCATTTCACTCAGGATACTTTTTTTCTGTTTTAAAGGCAGGTACCTGTAGTATTTCATAACCATAAATCATTAAATTTGGGCTGGGGTAGCTTTTACCTAACTCCACATTCTCTCATCCAGTTTGTCTGCTTGAGCCCTGGAAGTTTGCATTTATTGTTAACTGGGAAGGGATTTTGGAGGGACTACCTCAGGTGTAGATAACCACACTGTAAATTTCCCAATTTGGGCTCAATGTGAGGAACCTTATTCTCTCCTCCAGAGACTGCCCTTGGCATGTCCTGCAAATGGCTCATCGAGCAAAGAGCTCACAGGGAGGCTGCAATTCCAGAGCCTGCAGGGATTTAGGGTTCAGTTAGTAGCTGTTGGGAAGGCCTGGAGGTAGATGTGAAGGAGGGGCATACAAGCTCAGGATCAAAGTTTCTGCCTCTTAACACTGTCTGGCATTTAATTTGCCCCAGTTGACCCACTACCCTAATTTTCCCAAGGATAATAACACATATTCCAACTGTCCTGGGTGCTACAAGGTTAACACAGCGCTGCAAAACGTGAACCACTTAGAGCAGCTTGGTGAAAGCCATGTCCAGTCAAGGTCTCAGTATCTCCAATGATGGAGATTCCACAGCCTCTGTGAGCTCATTTCAATTTTGTTTCCTAAAATTCATGCATAAATGTTTTTTTCAGTAGCCAGTAGGAAAGCCCTTCTATGTGCAAATGAAGAGACGAAACATCTAATTACATACCCAAATTTATCTGCATGAACATACACAATATAATTTCTGAGCTGTGGGGGGATAGAATTGCTAAACCAGAAGCTAATTCAGTTTCAGACTTAGGAGTCTTCATTTTCCATGACATTTTCATGATTATTTGATTCTCTAAACTATTATTTATTCACACAGCTGAACTAGCTATTCATGCTTCAGTAAAAAACTCTTTAGGTTTATCTGCTGTGTGAACCTAAGAGGAAATATTTCTGGGAAAAAAAATTACTGATAGTGTAGAAAGTAAGACCTTTTTCTTTTAATGACCTCTTAAAATCCAGACCAGCTTTTGTCATATTATATCAGTATTCAGCCATTAACTCCAATGTTGAAAAAAAAAAGTTCTCCTAAGCACAAAGGTCTAAAAATACTCATTTTCTGACAGATGCTGACATTGAAGAATAACAGCCCCCAAAAAAGGAAGACTGTGAAGTATAGAATAAACTGTAAAAGAAAAAAAAATTACACTGCCTGTCCTGTAAGAATTAATTCATTCTTTCCCCCTGCACAAAGCAGAGGATTATAACATAGCTATCATCCATGGCTCATTATTTTCTCTACCCCCTAATCTAGTATGAAGATTGTCTTTGTTAGTTGAAGGTGTT